AATAGCACGTAGGCTACAAAACTGAGAGCTGTCCTTAGGACCTGGACTACTCTTGCCGACTCCTGACCCTGATCTGACCCTGACTGTGGGGTTCTGTGGGGCAGGCTGGAGTCCCGCTTGTCCTCAGACCTCAGCCGCATCCTGCAGCTCCTTCAGCAGCCCCTGCCCCAAGGCCACACTGGCTACATTCTGGGAGCCCCAGCCTCCAATGACCTGGCCTTGTTTCCTGCGCCCTCAGCGACTCAGATCCCAGGAACCAGGCTGCCCCAGAGCAGTCTGCCCCCTGCACAGGTGAGCAGGTGAGGGGATCCGTTTGCCTGGAGGCAACTACATGCCTTCCCCCACCCCCACCTTGGTCTCAGTGTGGTGTCAGGCCTAGAGCCTAGTGGCTGGATAGTAACTGTGGCTTTTGCTGTCTTGCCTTATGGTCTGAGTCATGACAGGGCATTTTGGACAATTAGCGGCAAAGCCCGGATTATGACTGAGACCCCACAGCTGGGGCAAGGGTACAACGACACAGTTCCTACCAGTTCTTAGCCCTCAAGTCAGGGTGGCCTGGGGGTGGGGAGCTTCACCACATTGCATGCCTCCCTTTTCCTTGCCCCTCTCAGACCCCAAGCTACGACGACTTGGACAAATGTGGGCCGAAGCGCAGGAACTCTTCCTCCAGGATGCCTCACCTGGTCATGGATATGGACAAAACTCTGACATTGTCCTCGGAACCAGAGCAGCCTGAGGGGCTCCTGTCACCCCTGGCCTCACCTCTGTGTCCCCTAGAGGTACAGGGGCTCGTGTGTGGTCCCCGCTTCCCCTCTCTCCCTGAACACCTCGGCTCTGTCCCCAGGCACCTGGAGTTCCAGAGACACGGCTCAGATCCTGGATTTATGGGGAGTTAGAGCCGATGAACCGCAAGATAAAGGACATCATGAGGGGATTAAAAGTGGGTGAGGTGAGAGTTAAGGGTTTGGGGGAAGCAGACAGCCACCCAAATGGGCCTCTGAAAACCATTCTCCTAGACTAGCTACAAACTTCTAACCCAGCTGACCCACGATGGCAGGGGTGAGGAGGCTCAGGACTTTTCCCAGCCTCCTCCAAGGCTCTGTTTAGATAGCAGGCCTGGTGGAGGGTGGGTGAGCCTCAAGTGTAGAGGTAGCTTACAGGACAGAGGGGTCAGTGAGAAAAAGAGAAGTTCCTGATCTTCTGTGTGAAAGCCTTGTTCTGGACTGGGTACAATCACCTCCTCAGTCGAGTCAGAACTGCCCCATTGCCTCTTGGCTCAACTCCCAAGCTTGGTCAGACCTCCCCCTGAGACCCTGTGACCTGGCTTAAGATGAAAGTGTCCTCTGTAGTGGACATATCAGGCCACAGAGCTCCAGCCCGGAGCTGCTCCACCCCTGATGTTTCTGTGATGACCTTTGGGACTCCAGTGGATAGTAGAGTGTGTCACAGCTAATAAAGTCTGCACACTGGGCTGCGTGTGTAACTTACCTGAGGGTAATTGTGTCCTTGACTGTGCTATGCTCCCAACATCTATTGTCTTCTCTAAGCCCTTCTCACAAGGAGCTATGTGTTGGGGATCTGAAGGAGGCTTTCTGCTGGACCCAGGAATCCCTGGATCTTGGGGCTCTTAGCTAAGCTGGGGTGAAGGGAAGCAGAGAGGTACTGGCTTGGTGGTCACTGGGAATCATGACAACAGCCAACATTTTCATAGCATTCACCCTGTGCTGGGCACTGTGCTGACTTCTCTGCAGATATTAGCTCACCTAACCCTTACAACAACCCCGTGTGGTCAATGTTATTCTCCCTATTTTAGAAAAGTGGGATCAGAAGCAGAGAGAGAATAAGAAACTTACACGAGCATGAAAGGGACTTCTAGGGGCCTGGTACTGTTCTGTTTTCTGATCTAGATGCTGGCTACATGAGTGTGTTTCAAGTTGTGAAAATATGTGCACGTCTATGTATAACTTATGCTTTGATTAAAAAAAAAAAAAATGGACATGGTTCCATAGCATAGCGGTTAGCACATCTGCTTTACACACAGAAGGTCCTGGGTTCACATCCCAGTGGAGCCACAGTCCATGGTCTATGGCCATGCCACCCTGAACAAGCCCGATGTCTGATCTTGGAAGCTAAGCAGAGTTGGGCTTGGTTAGTACTTGGATGGGAGACCACCTAGGAAGACCAGGTGCTGTAGGCATAAATAATAATTAAGAAAAAAAAAAAAAGAATCTTGCCCAACAATACAGGAAAAAGAGGATATAATTTCAACTCAAATGGTCTGGCTTGAGAATATATGCAGTTAACTACTTCACTGAAATGGGCTGTTGTCCAAAAAGTACCCAGTCGTTGGTCTTCAGTTCTCTTTGCTCCAAGATTCCCTAAAAAAAATTGAAAATGTATATGCCCCTCACATATTTTTAAGTTTACATCTGAGATATTTTATTAATAAGTTTAAATAGTTGCAAAGGATGTAATTTCCAGTGTGTTGTAAATAGTGGCACTTCATAAACCATTTCATTTACATTGATCCATTTCGATCCAAATAGCGTAGTGATTTGAGAGCCAACATCACTCGTTTTAAAAACACTAGAACAAGCTTTTCTTTACATCATTCCTTTTTCTCTTCTCATATTTCCAATATATTCCTCCCAGTTTATGCTACATGTAATTTATTTCCATACTTTAAAGTCTATTATTGATAACCTTATTGTATCTCTGCAACTCAAATATATAAATTGAACATTTTAAATTAATTTTTGTAATCTTACCAAGGCTTCAAGGGTTACACTTATTATAGAGTTTTTAAAAAAATATACACACATTTTTATAAAAACTAATATTTATTGGAAATGCATCTCTTAAAAGGCTATTTTCCTATCATGTATGTGGATGAATAGCACTTTTTTATTAGAACAAGACAAGTTTCAGCGACACTTTTGTACCTATTTTTATTTCCTTTTTAAAAAAACTTAAGCACAGAGAAAACTTGTTCACATAAGTAGATGAGACCTTAAGAGGTTCGTTATGGATAGCAGTGTCACTCAATTCTTTGAATTCTTTCTGAGTCGTCTAACAGTTGCACTTATTTTAAAAACGATATTTAATGATAACATCTAACGTCAATACACTATTTTTTTTACAGCAAAGAATTGGAAACCATTTAAATGATAAACATTCGGACTCTTCTCTATTTCAAACTCAAGACACGGCAGATTTAGGGCTTGATTAGCATTTGCCTTGGGATCCAGGGCCAGGAAAAGATAGAACGAGAACCGGAAAAAAGTTAAAAAAAAGAAAAAAAAGAAAAAAACACTTAGAACCGTGCTGGTCGGGTCTCTGTCTACTAAAAACCAACCCTAGAATTCTGAGCATTTCTAGAATGGATAGGAAAGCCCGGGAAGGCCAGACAAGCTGGCCTGACCGTGAGTACATTGGTGGGTCGGTGCACAAACAGCTTGTCCGTGGCCTACCTTTGGAATACTGGGAGAACAACTCTCCCGGCTTAAAGGGGGCGTTGGCATGAGTGAAGAGGAAATGTGGTTCCCGTGGTTCCCGTTTGGCTCGCGGGCCAGACTGCCAGGCCGCGGGGCTCAGTGCCACGAAATGCAGCGGGCCCTCGCGTAAGGCAGGATTTAAATTTTTACTCGACAGTGTGAAGAAGCCGCCCGGAATAGCAGCTGCAATGTGGAAGTCAAAGGAGGTCACACAACAGATTTCACTCTTAGAGACTTGGCCTAGAACTGGGAGGCCTGCTGCTCCGCACGCTCGCCTCTTGTCACCCACGCCCCCATTCACCCGCACTGCGCCGTTATCTCCCTGACTGACATCTTTGTCAGCCAATGACCTTTGGAGCTGAGAAAGCGCCAGCCCCTTGGCATTGGGCGGGGCAAGTGAGTGGAATGACAAACATATATACCAATAGAGAGGAAGTTTCGAAAGCTACGGGTATGATAGCCAATGAGGAGAAGGAACTGTTCTAAAGGACGTGTCAGGCAGCCAATAGCCGACGCCGCTGAAGGGAAGCATGGCTTCCGTTCTGAGAGGGCGGGGCAGCATCTCAAACGGAAGGTGGTTGTCGTCGGAGCTCTAGCTGGTTTGAAACTGGGGGTCGGGCCCGGCAGTCGTTGTCTGTCGCCGCGGCCCCGCTTCCGGGCTAGGCCGTCCCTGCCCGCCCCCGCCCCG